GCTGTAACAAGAGTGTTACACACACACACACACGCACACACACAGCACACACACACACACACAAAACAGGTCGCGGGGGCAGCAGTCTAAACAGGGACTCCCAGATTTCTTTCATCCCAGACACTTCCTCCAGCTCCTCTGTGGGGACACTGAGGCGTTCCCGGGCCAGCCCAGAGACATAGTCCCTCCAGTGTGTCCTGGGTCTTCTCCCGGGGACTCCTCCCGCTGGGACAGCTGGAACAGATGCCCGAGCCACCTCACCTCTCGACGTGGAGGAGCAGCGGCTCTACTCCAAGCTCCTCACCCTATCTCTAAGGGAGCACCCAACCACCCTGACTGCTTGTATCCGCAATCTCGTTCTTTCGGTCATTACCCAAAACTCATGACCACAGGTGAGGGGAGGAACGAAGAACAAAATAAAATAAAATAAAAGCAGCTAGTTGTATATTATTTCTTGGTTGCCCATAGTGATGTATAGTAACTAGTTATAAAGTAAGAGATTACTGTAATGCAACAATGTAACTAGTTACAGTTGAAAATTGTGTAATTAGATTACAGTTACTTTGCATAGTAAGCTTTTAACTACATACATTTTCCATGCCAAAAAAATTTGACTAGAATAGAATTTTTTTTTTCATTATCATTGTAACAAATTGAGTGCAGTCCTCACTCAGTGCAAGGGTAGCAATAAATAATAAAAGATAAAGACAGAGCCTCTACAGACATGTTTAAAACCTGACACACCTACACGTAGCCTAGCCATACACATCCACATTCATAATCTGACACTGGTTGTCCATGAGATGTTTAGACAGGTGACAACCCTGACACTGAAATCACTCTCTTAATCATCCTCATGAGTGTATTTTCATAGTTGATACTAATGGTAAAATGTACCAGTACCATCCTGGGACTTAATTTAAAAAAGTCTATTTGAGATGATCTGCACAAACAGAGCAAATCCTCCTTAATCAGTTCCACTCAACTTTCCTTCACGGATTAAATGTGGTAATTATATTGACGAAAATAACAAACTTTTAAGATCATTTTTCAAGAGAGAGAGAGAAAACAGAAAGAGAGACAGAGAGAGACAGGAGACAGAAAAAGAGAGTGATCACGGAGAAAGTCAAGTACAGAGAGGAGAGAAGACGACAATTCCAACATTCCTTCACAGATTAAATGTGACAAATAAAGTAACAAAAATAACAAACTTTTGAATTTGTTGTTGCATTTGGACAACAGCGAATTATGAGGATATCACGATGGAAAACTAGTTTAGTAGAAGTCTTTTAGTAGAAATTGTGACAGATTTTTTTCACGTTAAAGGTCCTGCATTACGCACAACTGACTCCTGTGAGTTTTTGGCCATGTTAGAATGTTGTTACTAGGGTCCGACCAATATGGATTTATTTTTTTTTTTTTCTTTTACAGCCGATATGATGCCGATAAAATGGAGGAGCCAATACCCGATGTAAAAGCCAATATATTTAGTCATAGTCATAGTTTAGTCATATTTAAAGACAGAAAGTGGACACAAACACAGACAAATTACTCTGCAGATAAACACTGATGCAGCGCCACATATCAGGACATTTATCTGTCTGTAAATTCGATTTTTTCAATTTAAATGGACATAATATAGAGAATCTAAGTTTTATATCAAGGTATAGGTGAGTTTCAGCTGACGTCATTGTTATTAAAAGCCCGTGTTGCATACTGGGAAATATTTTGGTCGGAAGCAAGAAACACAATAGCGGTCAAACACAGTGTGTAACCTCACGTATTTATCCCCGATAATGGTAAATTCCTGCTGCATTATCGGATGCACAAATAGAAGCACAGAAGAAGGAAAATGTCTTTTTCGTATTCTGAGTGAAAAGAACCACTAACGGCGAATTAAACGGCTTTCAAACATTCGCAGAACAAACGTAGAAGATCCTAGCAAACGGTGGACTCCAACAAGTTCAACAACACATCGAGACTCTTGGAGGATTTCATCTTTTCTGCTGTGAATGGCCCAGGAGTTTCCACCAAGTCATTGTGGATATCACCCGAAGTGAATATTTGTCCAGGTAGTTGGCGATTCTGACCAGAAATTTGGTTTGGTCCAGGCTTTGTCGGGGTTGAAAAAGGGTGATTTGGCTCCATCGATGCTTATGACCAATTTCTGGTCAAATGGTCTTGGGTCCTCTGCCGTTAGAGTGGATAAATAACCGGGATCAATACCCTTTACGTGCTTTCTCGCTCTGTCCGTCATGTTGAATTAGTGTTTATTGCCGCCGACCAAAATAATTCCCAGCATGCAACGCGCGCTTTTGTCAACAATGAAACTCGCCTATGACATGCCCATGTGGACTATCGACCCATATCGGCAAGATTTAGGTCGATAGCCGATATGTCTCCATGTGCACATATCGGGTAAACGATATATCGGTCGGGCTCTGGGTGTTACCTCCTCCAAGACAGACCTGGAGTTGTGTTTTGTTTCATTCACACATCTCTGAGTAACTCTTGAGTAAACTGTCTACATCTCCAAACCTCAAAATGCTCAGCTGTGATGTCACGAAGAGGTAGTTTTAAACAATTGCCTCTTACCTTTAGTTGAATAGAGTTTGGCAATTCTAGGGCTGAAATGATCCAAATGATTCTACTGAAGTTGTAAGGACTTCCTGTATTACTACATGACATCAGAAGGTGGAACAGAGAAGAACTCAGCCTAAATCTGCAGAGTTTGTGCATTAAACATGTGCGGATGAACCAAAACACAACTTCAGGTCTGTTTGTGATGAGGAAACAACATTATACAGCTTAACACAATTTAAAACATAGACCTCTCCAATATTAACGCACTGTACTTTCTCTTTTACTTCTGATGCAGCTGGGCTTAAATAAATCATACTGACTTCTACACGCTGATTCTGACTGCCATTGTTAATAACAGCGCCTCCCTCAGGTCAAACGCGGTCAATAATTCAGCAGCAATCCTTCATTTTTACACGGAACACTCAATCACTTTTTACGCAGCGTATGGAAACAGCATCCGCACATTCCACCGCTCCTGTTGACATGTCCCGGAAGCTCTCCCACTTCCCCGCCGTCACCCCGCCTCTCACTCACTCACTCACTCAGCACCCACCGTATCCATGACTCGCGCCCGGGTGTGACACGGCGGAGCGCGTCCCCTGCCCACCGGTGCGTGCGCGGAGTTGCAGCGGGGACTGTGAGAGAGGAGAGAGAGAGAGAGAAAGAGAAAGAGAGTGTTGGCTTCTCCGGATCTGCTCCCTGCTTTTAACCCCGAGGCGCTTTTCCTCTCCAACGCGCCCAGCCACGCTCCCTGCTCGCTGTTTATTGGTCAGGGGCCCGAAAGAAAGAGTGAGCGCACGGGGGGATCGATGCGTGCGCTTGTTGGAGCAAAGAATCAGCCAAGCGCCCATTACGCGAGAAAATAGCGCGGAGGGTTAAGGGCATTGGTGGATGAAATACTTAAGTAAAAGTAAAAGTATCACATGAAGAAAGCTACTTAAGTAAAAATATGACATGTTTAGTATCTGTTTAAGAGTAAAAAGTAAAAGTATTGCACACAGGTTTTGCTAAAGTATTAAATGTAGTGAAAACGTATACACATTTCGATAGTAGCAGTAGCAAAACGAATCATTTCCTTCTTTTTTTTCAGTGAATTTAGTGTTTTTTTAGTTTTATTTGCTGAAAGCCAAAGCTTGAACTCAAAACCTTTAGTCATGATGCTAAAAATATGGTAAAATAACCCCTAAAATCGAACGAAAAGTACTTTTATGTTTCAGTCCTGTCGAAAAATGCAGTGGAGTAGAAAGTAGAAATACCTGCTCTCAAATGTAGTGAAGTAAAAGTAAAAAGTACACACTGTAAAATGTACCTAAGTGAAGAATGTTCTTTAAGATGCACTGTGTAACTTTTCAGGTGTGTAACTTTTCAGGTGGAAGGTTCGCCACCTGCTTCCTGCTTGTCTCCATGGAGATATTGAAAGGCTCTTCCGCAGTATTGAAATAAACTTGTTAATCACATTTGGGACAGGGTAATGGTCAGATCCATGGAGAAGCAAGCCTGCACATGGTAAGAATTCATATTTTTGAGGGTATTTTTGAGCTCTAAAATGCAAAAAAGTGAACAAATGCAAAGGAGATATGTTTAATTCCCAGCTGTGAACATTCCAGGCGAAGAAATCACATCTCCATGGAGACAAGCAAGTAGAGAACGCCCAACCTCAGAAGTTACACAGTGCACCTTTAAGACAAAAGTGAATAAATCAAAATAAAATATGCAGAAGTCTTATTTCTTTACCAAAGAAGCTGCAAAACCCAACCGAGACTCTGCCCCTACATCAGCTTTTGCGTCAGCATGAGTCCAAGTCCATGCGCAATTACGCACAACTTTTACGCACAAGCTCTCCATGCGTCCCGGGATGCTTAATTCATCTGTATAATCAAATCATCTTAGGGTTTTTGTTGTATTCTTTTAACAAATCATTTAAGTAAATTGTGCAGCTGGGTATGATTCAAATAGTAAAGTGTATTAGTAAATAAATAAAAAAGGGGGTTCCAGGGTTGCAAGACGGGGTTAAGTGCCTTGCTCAATGACGGAAGAGCGCTTGATGTGTCGTGTCCAAAGCACGAGAAAACCCCACCCACGCTACACTGTCCACCCGGGGGGAATCGGACCATTGACTTCCACGTTACTACCGCGTTACTCTTCTGTGGCTTTCCCCGTGCGCCTCGCATTTTCTCCCCCGTCCCGTCGCAACTCAAACCCCTCTCTCGACTCTCCCCGGGTCCCGTCCTACCCCTCGCTGCGTCTCTCCACTACGGCAGCGGCAGCAGCAGTAGCAGCGCTGGCGGCTCGCTGGCTGCTTTCTTCATGTTGTGGTCGGGAATACGCATGCGCCCGGCATTGGAATTACTGCACTGGCAAGAATAAGTTGGACCTCGCGTGTCTTCAGTAAAAAGAAATAACACTAAAAGCTAAGTATGGCGCTTTTGAGACTACGGAGGATGAGGTGTTTTGTCGTCTGGTCCTTCGCGTTCGTTGTAGCTGCCGTGTGCGCGCAAAGGTAAGTGGAAAGACGGGTAAGCGTACGCGTCTCCACTCGTTTGGACGTTTATATCACAGCTCCAGCGTAGTAATTAACTAAACAAGAACTGCTAGCTTTAACTCTTCGCTTTATTGTCTTGTCCCGTAGTCCTGGCGGCGTCCACGATCCAAGTAACATGACATTGGTGAAGGAAACAGTGGACAGACTACTGAAAGGTTACGATATACGATTGAGACCCGATTTCGGAGGTAAATACACGTATAAAATCACAAAAATCACCACATTCAGTGTCTTGTCAGCTCGTGTGGCAGCGCCGTGTGCGTGTAAAGAAAATTGGACACGTAAAAAGAAACAAAAAACGCGTGTTATCCCTTCATCCCCCGTGTGCCATTTTCAGGACGGGGTGACAAATCCAATCAAAACAACATGTAAATTGGACTTGGGTGATCATTTTTTTTAAGCGCTACGAAATGACACGCCAATTTAAACCACTCGATTCCGTTCAAATTGTAAAGATTTGTAGTTACGTTGACTCATTTCACGTCAACAACTTTTTTTTTTTTAGTTGTTTTTCCTTTAAGTAGCTTTTGAAACGTGAAAAGAGCACGTTTCGCTGCCCAAACGAGCAAGACACAAGTTTTCACGTGGATTTCTTGTCGTTTTCTTTGCGTCTTAGCGAATTAACGTAGTTTTAATTATGTTTTTACGTTTGTTTAAGGTGCCCCCGTTGGTGTAGGCATGAACATAGACATCGCCAGCATAGACATGGTATCTGAAGTCAACATGGTAAGTAGGCCATTCTCGCAAAAGCTCTCCAATAATCCAGTGTCTCCCCAAACTAACGGGGAAACCCCTGCTAATGCAACTTATATAACTGCCTCTATTTTCGCTCCCCTCGCTCCTCTGTGGCTGTGACTGCTCCAACGCTGCTTTAATCGTTTGGTTTGAAGGCACTGCACACCGTTTCCCTCCCGAGTTTCCCCTTATTGATTGACGTACGATGATTTACGCATTGTTTTAGCCGTGCGTAAACCGGATTCATTCGCTTTCCAATCAATACTTTTTGTCATTTTACCCGCAAAATCAACAACATACTTGGAGCACGCGTACTCTCCACTGGCCTGAATTACGTTCCCGGACACGTAATACCCGTAAAGATGTTTCTCATTACGACGTGAGTTAATTAGACGTGGCTTGCACTAGGCTGTCATCATGCTCAACTTGTGTGCGGTGGATGTGTGGCAAGTGCAAGTTTTTGCTTCATACAAGTGCGCCTCCTAGTGTCGGTAAAAGGGAACTGCGGGCTGCTGTGGGTTGGAAGTGAACAGGATTGTGAGGAGCAAGTGGCTGGTGAATTGTTGCCCCAGTGGAAGAATTTTAATAGTGTATAATTAATATAAAAGATTTGGTTGTGGTTTTTCTCATTTTTTTTTAAAGGTTTAGTATTACCCAAAATTGACTCTTGCTTTAACCTTTTAGGCGCCAGAGTTTTTTTTTTTTTTTTTTCCAAAAACGTGTGATTTTGACATTTTAGTCCTGGTTTACTCCTGGTTTAGTCCTATTTTCAACCTGGTTTAGTCCTGGTTTAGACCTGGTTTAATCCTGGTTTAGACCTGGTTTAGACCTATTTTCATCATGGTTTAGTCCTGGTTCAGTCCTGCTTTACTCCTTTTTTAGTCCTGGTTTAGTTCTGGTTTAGTCCTGGTTTAGGCCTGGTTTAGACCTGGTTTAGTCCTGGTTTAGTCCTGCTTTAATCCTTTTTTTAGTCCTGATTCAGTCCTGGTTTAGACCTGGTTTAGTTCTGGTTTAGTCCTGGTTTAGACCTGGTTTAGACCTGGTTTAGTCCTGGTTTAGTCCTGCTTTAATCCTTTTTTAGTCCTGATTCAGTCCTGGTTTAGACCTGGTTTAGACCTGGTTTAGTCCTGGTTCAGTCCTGCTTTAATCCTTTTTTAGTCCTGATTCAGTCCTGGTTTAATCCTGGTTTAGACCTGGTTTAGACCTGGTTTAGTTCTGGTTAAGTCCTGGTTTAGTCCTGGTTTAGACCTGGTTTAGACCTGGTTTAGTCCTGGTTTAGTCCTGCTTTAATCCTTTTTTAGTCCTGATTCAGTCCTGGTTTAGTCCTGGTTTAGACCTGGTTTAGACCTGGTTTAGACCTGGTTTAGTCCTGGTTTAGTCCTGGTTTAGACCTGGTTTAGTCCTGGTTCAGTCCTGCTTTAATCCTTTTTTAGTCCTGATTCAGTCCTGGTTTAGACCTGGTTTAGACCTGGTTTAGTCCCAGTTTAGTCCCGGTTTAGTCCTGGTTTAGTTCCGGTTTAGTCCTATTTTCATCCTGGTTTAGACCTGGTTTAGACCTGGTTTAGTCCTGGTCCTATTTAGCAAAAATCACCCTTTTATTCAGAGCGGCATCTTGTCAACTGAAGTCGACAGTGGCGTCTAGAGGGTTAAATCACATTGTTGTTATCTTCTCAAAAAACAGACCTGGAGTTGTGTTTTGTTTCATTCACACATGTTTTGGTTTAATATCAGTTTGTTTTTGTCTCCAAATCTCAAAATGCTCTCTTCCTCCTCGTGAGGTCATAAAGTTGTAGATTTCAAGTTAACAACTACTTTTTACCTTTTGTTTAGTAGAGACGCCAAAATCTCTACTAAACAAAAGCTTTAGTAGAGTATGTTTTCTCTTCTTTCGAGATATGTAATTTGAAAACTTTTCTTATTAAAATAAATGTTTATTAATAGTTTTGCTTAAACATTGAATCCAGAACAAGCAAAATATAAAATAATAACAACATTTTAAATAAATAATATCTCTAGAGCAGGGGTCTCCAACCTGTAGCTCGGGAGATACCACTAGCTCTCCACCCCCTTCCAAGTAGCTCGCAATATAAATATTGTGCTGAATAACTAAAATCTGATTATTTACCAGTGTAAATTTATCATCTTGATGCCGAAGTTCTAGCCAGGCTGGTGCCACCTAGTGTCTCTGCTCAATTTTATTTCTCTGCAGCGACTAGGTCAGGAATCAAAATACACTAGACAGTTCGCAAAAACCCTAGAAGTGCGAGTTCGGGCACCAGCCAATCAGCGAAGAGTCATACATTCTGTGTTGGCAACGATTCCCGAGATCGAAGATTTAAAGCTGGAACAAAGACAATGTTTGGTGAAGTTTATCAAGCGGTAAGACGTTATTGTCCTTCTTCCTACAGGATGTGGGAAAAGCTTAATATACCAGTTAACCCCGTTGTGGCGCATTACATACATCACGACCAAATAGCAGCGATTGGTTAAATTTAAAAAAGTACCTGCCTACCATCGAGCGAACAAATTTTAAAGCTGCGAGGTTCAGACGGTTTCTGTGAAGTGAAACTGGCTGATGAATCAGGCTAAGGAGTTACATGAACTCTGTAAAAATAAATATTTAAAAAAGCCAGTCTTTTGGAAGGCTCTGTAAATGAAGATTTGGACCCTGTAAAAAAGCCGAAAGTCCCGTGGTTAGTTATTCCATTGCTATATTGAGCCAACAAATCCTAATGCTGTGAGGTCAGACGGTTTGGTTTCTACGAAGTGAAACTGGCTGATGAATCAGGCTGCCCGAGTTCTGCATGAATGGCTGGATAATGGTTTATGTTTTACAAGCTTCTAACTGAACCCCATCTAAAGCTCGCCATGACTCTTATTCTTTCTCAGGTTCTTGCGACCCCCAAAATGAGTAGCTCTCCGGCATTCTTGTTTTGTAAAAGTAGCTCGGCATAGGAACAAGGTTGGAGACCCCTGCTCTATAGCCTATCTGTAGTCTGATGTAGTTTTAATTCAAGTTTGATATGATTTCGCGGGCCAAATTTGGAGCCCGGGCCTGAGTTTGAAATGTTTGATCTAAATCACAGGTGTCAAACATGCGGCCCGGGGGCCAGATCCGGCCCTCCAAGACCTTTAATGTGGCCCTTGGGTGATTTTCTACTAAAATATTTCAATTATATTTTCTATTAAAATATTGTAAATTTTCTGTGGTGTTTATCACAGCAGCGTCTCCAGCGTCTCTGTACGTGGCCCCTCCCACCAGAGCAGCACAAATGAAGACTTGTCTCTTTCCAAACGCTCTTAAAGGACGATCGTTTTGACTGTTGACCGTGACACCCTCATCAGAAAAATGTCCAACATGAGAAAAGTGAAGCCGAGTGCAGGATTTCACAACAAAAATTGACTTATTCCTATTTACATACAAGTTCATGTTAAAACATTGTGTTGAAATTGTATTTTTCTTCAAGTTTCAGGTTGTTCATAATATTATAATATTATAATAAGAAAGAGTTCATCAATTAAAAAAGATTTCTGTAATAGATTTGTGTTTCTCTGCACAAATATTTGAACTTATTGTTATTTTTGGGGTTTATATGACATGAGTTTTCTGATCCGGCCCCTTTGGGATCAAAGTCGGTTGGATACGGCCCCCGGACCAAAATGAGTTTGACACCCCTGATCTAAATGATTCTAGTGACGGTGTATGGAGTTTAAAAACTAGACACGACAAGGTTATGTTTTCGGTTTGAGAGAAGAACTAAGCCTAAATTTACAGTGTGTGTGTTAAACTTACATGAATAAAACAACAACTCCATCTCCAGGTCTGTTTGTGATGAGGAAACAACATTACAACATACAGTAGATCATAAAACAGTGTAATATGCAGCCTTTAAACATTTACTATAGTGTTTGGAGTTTTATGTCTTGCTGGTGTTGGAAGTGTCGTGGTTTGATTCATGCTGGTGTCAGAAAATCATTATATAGAAGAGTATTTTTGGCAGCTGGACCAAAGGACTCAGTTTGCAAGCTCGGACTTTGTGTTTTGGCAGGCGCTTTCCCTGGATTTATAGATCTCAACAGGAACGACGTTGTGCAGATTCACTTTTGTGCAATGGGGAATAATTATAAAAGGTTCTTGTATCAGTTTAGATAAAGGATAGTTTGTAGTTTAAAGGGCCCATGTTATGCTATTTTATGATCTGTTATAATGTTGTTTCCTCGTCATAAACAGACGTGGAGTTGTGTTTTATTTCACTCACTCATGTTTAACACACAAATCCTGCATATTTAGGCTGTGTTCTTCTCTCAAGTTCCACCTTGTGATGTCATTTGGTAATACAGGATGTGCTCCATGGTGTTTCATGGTGTTATTTATTTATTTAAAAAAAATCAAAGTTCACATTTTAACCCTCTAGGTGCCACTGTCGACTTCAGTTGACAAGATGTCGCTCTGAACAAAAAAAGGGACGATTTTGCAAAATAGGGTGTCAAATTTCATTCAAGATAAACCAGGTCTAAACCAGGTCTAAACCAAGACTAAACCAAGACTAAACCAGGATGAAAATAGAACTAAACCAGGGCTAAACCAGGACAGAACCATGGCCTGAACCAGGAGTAAACCAGGACTAAACCAGGTCTAAACCAGGTCTAAACCAGCTCTAAACCAGGACTAAACCAGATCTAAACCAGGACTAAACCAGGTCTAAACCAGGACTAAACCATGACTAAACCAGGTCTAAACCAGGACTAAACCATGACTAAACCAGGTCTAAACTAATACTAAACCAGGATGAAAATAGAACTAAACTAGGGCTAAACCAGGACAGAACCATGGCCTGAACCAGGACTAAACCAGGCCTAAACCAGGACTAAACCAGGCCTAAACCAGGGCTAAACCAGGACAGAACCATGGCCTGAACCAGGACTAAACCAGATCTAAACCAGGACTAAACCAGGTCTAAACCAGGTCTAAACCACATCTAAACCAGGTC